TTTTGAATTATTTGCAACGATTTGATATAGTGTGTGAGTAGAAAATGTATAATAGTTTCATAATAATATGAAACGGAGGTGGTAGTAGACTAGTAACTTTTCGATTTTCACCAATTGGGTTCTCAAATTTATTCATTTCATGTCTTTTTGTCTTTTATTTATTATGTAATATGGTAAATAAGACCTTTTCAAGAGCCTAACCTATAACAAGCTATATGTAACTTTTTTTTGAAGGAACAAGCTGTATGTAACTTGGACTACAGGAATCAGGATAATTAATTAAAATTTTGTGTGTATGTTTGCCTATTTTGTTACACTGTTAGTTTGATCTTGATTTTGTGTTAGTTCTTTCAATTGATAAATTTCAGCTTGTAATTAGATAATAGTTTGTAACTTAATTTCAGATTGATGGATAAGTTACTAGAAAAAAGCAAGAGGTTAACTCGTATACTTGAGACTCGTTTAAAGTCGATTGAAAGAGAGAATGATGAACATTTAAAGATGATAAACGAGTCAAAGAAATTAATCCTTAATCAGTCCCAACAAGAGGCTGATGAACTTGAAAACCAACTTGAATTTCTTCAGCTTGTTAATCAGGTATATATACACTTATTATGATTGAAAGGTTTCATCAAATTTGCCAAATAAAGTTTCTGATGTTTTGGTGATTACATAGTTATGCTATTTGTGTTTGGTTATGGTAAAATGAACAGAATAATTTGTCAAAAGATAAGCTTCATGAGGCGTTCAAGGAGCAGATTTCTTTAGCTGAGAAGCACTGGGAGTCATTGCAGGAAAAAAAGGTGAATATATACTTCTTAATACTACTGCAATGTCCATGCTTTTCCTGTATTGAGTACGAAGTATTAGCTGAACATGTGGTTAAGTAGCTTATTAAGGCGTTGAAATGATTTTTACAGGCACATATTGAAGAAGCTGTAAATAATCTATTCAAGTTAAATGGAATCTTGTGATCAAGAACAGAAAAGAAGGAGATGAGGCTGTGAAATCGTACTTTGAGTTTCTTTGTTCGGGGGATCAGATAATAACAGAGGAAATGCTGTCACAAACTGCATTTCATTATAAAAACTTGAAGTTTCAGACAATTGCAGACCTTGAGCTGAGCATTTCTGAAGTGCAGAAAGATAAAGAAGCACTTGTTACTAAGGTATGATATCAGACTTCAAACATCAGAATACTATATGTATCAACATGTCAGACGGTGACCATAGTATATATTTGTTAAATTTGCTGCAGAAGGAGAAATTAGAGGAAATACTGAAGGAGAAAAACAGGCAAGAAGCAATGTTGCTTGATTCCAGGAGAAGGTTGGAAGTTTTCGGTGAGCCATCAGCATCTGGATTGGTTTTATCAGCTGAAAAATCTGAGGAAATAATCGATCCTGTTGATGATCAAGATCTGGTGGAGAATATCAAGACTGAGGGAAGTGATGAAAATTGTCAACAAGGATCAGTAAAACCAGTACTCCAAATAATACAAGTAAGGATTCTTGCCATTTTTCGCTTGTCCTGCTTTCATGCATATACTTGTATTTTTTAGGACTTTGTTATAATTAACTCTATCATTTATCATTTCATCTTTTATGATATTCCAGTAAAACTGAATTTAGATAACATTTTAAATGAAGTTTAAGTAATGCTGTAACCTGTGGCTTCTGATCATATAATATAGTCATAAGGCTTCATAAATATGTAAGTATGCCTAGGATCAGAAACATACATTGCCAATACAGAATAGAGTAAATAGCTAGATCGCAGATATAAGATTATGTTAGCTTGTTTTCCCTCGGTTCCTTTTAGCAAAAGATTATATAGTAGTTACGCCTAAGTGCCTAACCCCTCTCTATAGCTATACTAGAATAACCAGAACACTTCTGGAAATACATTATTCCTAGAGTTTGTTATGTGCCAAAAACAAATAACAGCAAATCATGCAAGGAAGTCAATCACACACGAAGCTGAAGTCTTTCTTGCTTAGCTTTACCAGCTGTCCTAGTTGAACTGTTTCACCCAAATGTCTAGTCCACAGCCTTTTATCTGGTTGCGACAAATCAACCCAAAAGTGCTAGCTCATGAGCCCACATCAGCTTGATTTCTTGGTTTGACCTCTAACTCTGTATTGAGTCCTTGTTGGTTTATGTCAGTTGTGTTTCAGCTCCTAACAGAATGCATACAAGTTTTAACAACTGGCAAAGATTGGTATGTATAAATCCTGATAGATATGCCTTTGGACATTATTTATTCTGAGGAAAGTTTATACTTGTTGGCTGGTATGCCGTCTCTGAAAGTTTATATCTGATGCTTACCTTTTCTGTGTGTTGGAAGATTGATGACAGTAGCACTGAAGTTTCATGTTACTCTGAAGGAGGTGAAGCAGAGATTTCGTCTGGGGTCAGCAATACACAATGTGATGTTATGGTAAGATTGCGACTGAAATCTTTCTTTCCCATCAGTTTATTTTTGATATGTAGTTCTGTCATACAGAAATGCCTCTTTGATGTAGCAGGGAAAGGGTATCAGGAAGCAACCTCGACAGCTGCGTACGAGGTGCAGTCAGAAGCTACTCAGTAGTTTTCTTTCCAATTTAACTGCTGAAAAGAGAAGAGTTATGGAAAATTCCATATTCAAGCCCTTCTTGTCTATTCCTCCTCGCAGCATCTGCCTCCCTCTCTTGCAGGCGTTTATTGAAAGATACGATCTCAATTCAGATTCGTTTATCATAGATAAACAGGCCATGCAATTTTGTGGCAAAGAAGTTGAGTCCTGTCTAGGAATAGCAAACAAGGGAAAACTTGTTGATTTTACAACTCAGGTTAGGAGAACTCCTGAGATTTTTGAGCGTTATTTTGGAGTAAAGGGAAAGATGTTGAAAGAAGATTTGATGGAGAAGTTGAAGCACATGCATGTGAACAAGGATAATGCCGATGACTTCTTTAGGTTGTCTGTTTATTTTATGTTTAGTGTGTACTTCTTCAGCACCAATGATGCGTGCATATCTTATTGGCCTGTGAGGTATTTGGAGAGCCTGGAGCTCTTTAAATCTTTCAATTGGGCGCGTGCCATCTACAAGTACTTGAGGGAGTCAGTAAGAAAAACTGCAAATGGACTTGCAAAAGATGTTACTACTTTCATCTCTATGAAGGGGTGTCTTCCTCTCTTAGAGGTAATTGCATATCAAACTTGTTGCTATATAGTATATATATACTCTATATTCTGCAATTATAGTCACTGTTTATTGACTTGCATATATAAACTCATATCTTGATCATTTTTTTGTGCTCTAGACATTGATATACGGGCGCATTGGGAGTCCTTACTTGAAAATGGAAGTTGATCCGAAAATGTTTTCACATCCTTGTATCATCATGTACACTAAGGGTGACTCTAGGAACCCCAGTACGATAAGGAGGGTGCTTGCTAAAATAAAATTTGACAAGGTACAATCTCTCTTAATGGATAGAATCATCCATTTACACTAACTTGTTTTTACTAGATCCTTAATTCTTCTTGCTTTTTACAGATCAAAGAATGTGAAGATTGTTCAAAAGAGGAAGCCACTTTCCCTGAGAGTGTGGATGCCAGTGGATTGTGATGCGTTTTAAGAAGAAATGCATCCTCAATGTTTTTGTCAAGTTAGAAGGCACACCAGGCCAAAAAGCTTATTTCTTGAGATGAATACTCAAGTCGGCCAAATGCCATGATTTTGAGCCATGTATTGCAGGTATTCTTGACATGACCAAATTTGTAGATGTTACGATTTAGGAAGTGTATGAGTATGTATTGCTTTCTTGAGTCGTCATTGTCAATGCCTCACTTGGTTTGTATATATTATACAGTATACTGTATGGTACATAATTCTAATTTATGAATATCAGTGAAGTAGGGAAGCATTTAGCTGATCAAGTAGTTTCCAAGGAAGCAAAATTAGAATGTAATTCATCACTTGAAGCTATATGCTGTACATGTACTTACAATTCATCCTACTGTTAGATGTGCACACCAATTCACTGCTATATTTAGATTATTTTCGCGACAAGCATTGGTGATAATTATGTTCATGTCAATGGTGTCGTCTGCTTTTTAAGGAGGAAAGGAAGAAGAGAGTAAGAAACTAATTGGGGTTGCTAATGAGTTTAGGATCATAATAATAATCCAAGGAATTATGAAAGGAAGAGATCAATTGTTAAGCTGGGTTTTGGATCATAATAATGAAAGGAGGAGAGTAAGAAGAGAGCATACAACCCTTCACTTGAATCCAAGCTGGATTGAACAATTGTTTTCCAATTTTTTATTTTTTTTTTTGAAGAACAATTGAATTATTTTGACACATTTTGGCAGCTTGTATTTATCCGAGAAACCAGGTTGCTGTATGTTTTTCAACTTGGCTTATTTCTAATTAGATCCAATTTGGCTTATTACTACGTATATGAAATACGACTTATACGAATCGTATAACACTTACAGGAGAAAGTATAAATGCATAACTGTGATGCATGAGAAATGCGCCTAACAAGCTGCAATTGGCGGGGAAAAAGAAAAATTGGGAAAGCGGGAGGGAAAAACAAAACAGAATAATAAATTTTGTAACGGCTAATTGCCCACCTGGATTCCACGTCAGGTGACTTGGCAACTTTACTTTACCAAATTCTTTACAATCCCAGAGAGAGAAAGAGGCAGACTAGACTAGCGACTCCATTGTATTTTAAATTTTATTTCAAATTTTCGAAAGTTACAAAATGATCGTGCTGCCCCTGTGATGCTTCAGCCATTTCCATCACAGTTAGCCCCTAGGAAGCGCACCACTTACTTTAGACGGAGAGAATTTAAAATTAGGGGTGATGAATGATGAAAAACAAGCATTTATTTACTCTATTTTGAATCCCGTCAAAAAAAATATATATATACAAACCTGAAAATGAAAAAAATTACTCCGTATTATGTGATTAAATGTTTGTTATTTGAACGAACTTGAAAATGAACTAATAGTAGAATATACAGAGTTTTATTGATCCGAAAGTAGAGTAACATGTTAAGATAATAGTACAAAATAGCTTAAGCTAAGACACGCTCAAACAAGTGAAAACAAAATAACAAAAGCCTCGACTCTTGAGCGGTCGAGTTGGTTCATCTTTTCAAGCGCTAACACAGTCCATAACCATAGACAGACTGGAGTCAGAACAAAGAGAAGTAGGCATCTTCACATACAAGGCTTGGACCCATTTAGGCTGACCCGTTTTAATTTGAGTCGTGTTTGTCGAAGCCGAGATCGAGGCCAAAAAAGAAGAAGAAGGTGGTGGGTTGGAAGGCTTGGCTTGATTCTGTTCCTGCATCTTGGCAGTCTCACTGCTCCAGATATCTACTAGTGCAGTATGCAACCTAAAATTTAAAGTTCAGCTTTTGTGTTGATTTGTGAAGGTTTGTGTTGATTGCTATGATTCTAGTTATGAAAAGAAATTTGAGGTCTTAGAGACAATTTATAGGAGAAGATCAAGGGGGATTTCATCAAGTGAGGCGGTATGTTTTTCGGCGTATAAAAGTTATTAACTGTTGGATGGAGTAAATAAATAAACTATGTTTAGTGTCACTGTCTGGATTATGATATTGCTGCTACAGTGGGCGGTAACCCAAGGTTTTATGTTGCTGTTTTGGTGACTAAACTAGCACCTGTTGTATGCTGTATTTTTTTTTTTTTTTTAATTTTCTTCAGTCTAAGACTCTGGAGAGTTCATTCGGGTCAACAGGCCATATATGTGTTTGGTTTTTAAGTTATAAAATAAATCAAAAAATTCAAATCCGCACTCAAACTTAAACTGTAGTGAATATATATGAAACAGTTACATTGAGATACAGAGAATGGAGACAGCTGCAGAGCCAAGTCAAACTCAAACTTAGCAATTTACATTCAATTCATTTGTCAAGAGACTGAAGTATGTGTACACCTCAGAGGGCTTAAATTGCCCAGATCCTTTTAAATTACAAAGACATGAACACACAGTAAGAGAGGTTCCTGTTATTGAGATCAGGAGCACATCCGAATTTTCAAGCCAAGGCAACTCGAATTTTTCAGATAAGAACCAAAATCAAACTTGAAAGGCTTGTAGCCAGTAAACAACTTCCAATTGACTTAAGTGTAAATTTGTGTAACATTAATTACCTCCTACCAAGACCCTACTATAACTACTGTCATAGAAAACCATATCGAACAGTAGTTAGAATCCTAATCATAATACACTTACCAAGCTGCTAATCATAATACACTTACCAAGCTGCTTCAATAATTATTTAAGGCAAATTTGTTTGGACGGTTGGAATCATCATGATTTGCAGTCAAATAGGAGGGCAGAGGGGTTGTTGCAGACGGAATTTAGGGAAAGCAAAGCAAAAGAATCGGGTACTCTGCTTCTGCTTCATAATCCATCAAGGTAGTTGCTGCATAATGGCGTATCTTCTATTTTTCCATCAGCAACAAACTATTCCCAAAATGCACAAACCACAAGCAGTAACTGTGACCTCCCAAGCTCATTTCCTAGAGTTTCTTAACGAGAAGCATAGTAGGATCACAGGAAGCAAGTTTTGAACCACTCTCCTTGGGATTTTAAGCATACTGTGACTGAAAAGGCCATGGCACTGCTGAAGTGCTGAGGCTCTGATCCCAGAAGAATACTAAATGTCATTTTCTTTCATTCCAAAAAGCTTTGGCATATTTCTGTGGTGCAATGGAGTTGATCAGCTCATACAGCACCACAGCCGCAGAGTCTAGTCAGCAAAAGCTGAGGTATATGTCCTTAAGCCTTTTCCAACAGGATCAGAGGTCCATTATCCCAAATAAACAGCACAATCGGCATCTCCCCAAATAGACCTGCATGACTCTTTTTGGGCCCATATCGAGGTGGAGTCGCAGGCTTCATCCAAAACTGCTCATGTTGAAGGCCTGACTAACCACAATTACTAATCAGATGTTGAAGAGCTGCCATATGCGGGTGTACCACTGCACAACCCATGATGGGAGCATCTTTATTACAAACTCAAATCCATGCTGTCCAACCTTCATACATGTTGCAGAGATTATCTGCACTAGTAGCTTGCTTCAGCAGATAATCTACCTGTTCTCCAATACTTAATTCTCTGGAATATATTCATAAGACAGGTCAAGGTCAAAATAGATCCTGTGCAAAAGCTTTAAAAGTGTGAAAAAAAAAGCAGGTACCTGGTTTCAGAAATATCTCGGCCGTCTAATTTCATCTCAATACGCCTTAAGACTGACATAGCAAAAGCGTTTTTACCTACAAATACCAAACAGGACAGGAAATTATTACAGCTTTGGTTCATTCTTGAGCAGAACTAGTCAATTTTGCTTTACAAATACGGAATCGGTCCTAAATATAAGACGACAAAATGGCTCAAGGTAAGAGCAAATCTTTTCTGTCTCAATAATCCAATTTCAAATACCAATGCAACATTAAGTGCTACTTTACAGCATCAATGCAAGATAATAGGCTGTTTATATTATCAAAAAAAATATTCATCATCAAGTTACATTATAACAGAAATTAACAAAATTTTGCATAAAAGTGGTTATCATCCTACACTTCAATAAATCAACTAAAAAAACCCCTTTTTTCTCAGGGGAGGGTATATTGAGGCCACGAGGAAAGAAGATAGTACTTTCAAGCTTTATTTTATACAAGGACATAAATTGAAGTAATGAGCGGTGGTAATGATACTAATAAACAATTTTGAAAATTTAAGAAGGAAATACACCCACTTGAATTAAAGATGCATTATTACAAACATTCATACAGGCCATTCCACGCCAAATTAAACTGTGATAGACGCTTGCTTGCTGGACTATCACACACACCATTAACATACAATACAGAGGCAAAAGATCAAATCTTTGATTGAAAATATTTAAGAGCAGGGGTTTGTACAAGCTAGCAACTTTAGGATGCCAATCTCTATTAGTGACTTTAGGTCACAACCCTCAAATAGTGACTTGAGGTCAAAACTTTCAACGGATTTACTCCAAATTTCTGCCTACCATTTTCTTTCTCCTCCCTCTGTATTTATACTAAGGACTATTAACCTAGCCAACTAATATTACTAGAATACCCATACTACCCCTCCTTAGGTTAGTCTATTACATAAACACAAACTCACACCATCAGTCCATCACCATAATTTATGACTTCGTACCAAACAGACAGTCAATGTATTCTCACACTACACCATGAGGAACTATGGAGTATTAAACATTGTGGGGTTAATTAAAAAATATTACTAGAGCAATTTGTTAATCTGGCATTCCCTTCCCTCACAATCCAATAGACACACATGTAACATGTAAGGGTCCAAAGGGGAAACATATGTTGGTTTAACTTCAACCAATGTTCTCCACTTAACAAGGATTTATCAGGTCAATGGATCCCATCAGCGAGCTTTTGTTGTTTAATTGCATGACATAGTCCTTATATATCTATCTTTGACTTTTCTTCGTCCAAAGTGCCTAAAAATGAATCCTCCAGTCTAATTATAGTCGATGTAAATGCAGCCATAGATACTACACTTTATCATTCGAATAAGGCTATGTTTAATTCACCTTATTTTTGCTTATATGACTGATCTGAACTTTTTTTTTTTTTCCCTGATCACATTTGATTTTCTGATTTGACCAAATTTGGCCTTATATGTACGCTAATATACAAGGAAAAAACATATCAAAAGGGGTCTTATTTAGGAAAAAACCTATCAAATGGGGTCTTATTAAGGAAAAACCTATCAAATGGGGTCTGTAATTTTCTTAATTTTTTCATCACGGAATAAAAAATATTTAGCAATAAAATTATTATTATGTAATTTTCTTAATTTTTTTCATCACGGAATTAAAAATATTTAGCAATAAAAAATGCATATAAAGTGATAAAGTATGTTATAAACTCATTTATTTATATCTGATTTGAAATTATCATTTTCGATCTAATCTGAAATGAGTTCCTTGAATAAGTGGACTAGACATAGCCTAAGTGCAGTAAAGCAATTTACTCTTACCCTTAATTGCTCGAACACCATCTTTTTTAATTCGATCATTTTGACTGTCATCTCCAGCTTCAACTTGCTTTGATGAGGTTGCATCATCTTTTCCATCAACATTCATGTCCAAATCTTTAGGAGCACTAGGCTGCATATCCAAAGAAAAACCAGCGCTATCTTCTTTGGTCTCCATGTCATTTGACATCACAGCATTCAAGATATCCTGTTGATCAGTTTTAGTGAATAGTAATTGTTCCTTATGATCTCCATCCTCTTTGTTGTTGGAGTTAAGCGAAAGACGCTCCACAGATTCTTGAAGACTAAATCCATTTGAAGGACTGGTTTCACCTGAAATACTTTCCCCACCAGAGCTGCTACTATATATGCTGTCTGGAGGAGATATCCATCCTTTATCTTCAGCAGACAAATAGTTGACAGCAATCAAACCTTCATCCTCTCCTTCAGGTTCTCCGATTATATCTCCTTCCACACCATCATACTCGGTATAACTTTCAATGAGGTCTTCCCTTGACAAGTTAGTTTCCTGTGACCTATCTTCCAGGGTAGCTTCTACACCTTCAACGGCCTATAGATAAAACAGATAAAATTTTAAACATATAGAACAACTCCAGTCAAGCATGAAAACAGAATTTATAAAATGGCATTACCTTATGCAGCTTAGCAGCATGGAGGCTTGCAGAGTGAGCAAGCTTAGTCAGGGAAGAGTACAGTTCCTTCACAGAAGATACTAGAGATGGTACCAGGGGCTTGAAAGCCTGGAAAGCCTCCTTAATTCTTGGATAATAGGATTGGTATATAGCTTGCCCATGAATAGGCGATATCTCCATTTTGGTTTCCCTTTCCTTTTTCATAGCATCAGTCATTGCAGCTACGTCCTTGGACAATACTGACTCAAGAGGAAATATTATCTCACTTGCCTGACATAACTCAGCAAATCAGTATAAAAAGGTAATGGTGAAAAAAGAAACTTAATTAGATCTCCATCCCCCTAGCTTCCTTTAACCCACACCTCTCTGGGATGCCCAGAGGTTCTCCGAGTAAGAAACATAAAGAGGAAAGCTAATGTGAATAAAAAAAAAAGGAAATAATATACTTCGTATCAAAATTTCAATAACAGCAAGGTGATGGAACCACAACCCAGTCATAAATTTATAAATAGATTATTCATGAGAAATCACCTTCGATATTGATTCCATAAGGGAACGATGCATTGCTGCAGCCTCTTTTCCCAAGTTATGCACATCATGAAGACCATCGCTGATAGCTAGCACCTATAATGTCAAACAAAGAAAGTAGGACAAAGAAAGTGAGATGGGGGTGCATCGAAAGTTTAGACTGCTCAAAATGTCACTGAAGACTATATTGAGAGACAAAACAAAGAAAGTTATAGAAAGCGATAACCAGCAACACCATGTTAATCTATATTATGTTCACAATTAAATCTTTTCAGGATATTCAACCCTTCAATCATAATAAAGGTAGCAGCCTTTACAAAAAGCCACTAACGGAAGAAAAGCCTACAACAAAACTCAAGTAAGAGGAAGATTACAAACCTCTTCAAGCATTGAACCACATTCAGAAGTTAAAGCGGTATGGCCATTCGCAACGTGACAAAAAGCAGAGAGTGCGATGCTAGCTTCACATGCACAATCTCTCATTTGAAGCAGAGTAGTTTGCAAGTCCTCTGAATTGGTTGAAACCCCAGATACATCATATCAGTTCATGTGTGAGATAAATTGTAACAGGAAAGTAAAATGCACATAAATCCACAAAAATATACATAGCAAATTGAAAATTACAGAAATTATTACAACCTGAGGCTGACTTTGCTTTTGAAGAAGCTACAGAGAGTTCATTAGAGGCAGAAAATAAACCATTGGAGGCAGCTTCCAAGCTGCCCTTTGCTAACTTCAATTCCTGTTCAGCCCCTGATAAAAAAATAATACAGTTCAGTACTTCAGTGACTAAATAAAGAATAACGTGTACTGAGAAGAAAAACGGAATCACTCACGAGAGAAAGAATGGAAAGTGACTTCCAGCCTTGCCAATGCATTTAAATATGCTTGCTGCCATGCCCTTCCATCTCCACTGGTTCTGAATGGAAATAATTCACCTGGAACACAAAGGATACCGTCTCTTGATGCTTCAAACTCTAAAATCGACAAAGAAACTCTCATAATGTCAGCAGCCTTTTCGCGAGCTTCCTGCAGCAACTTTTTTCTCTGCTGCAAATGATCATGGAACTCAGAAGGAATTCCAGCACCCTTGTAAGAGTTATTGCCAGTCATGCTGGGATTTGGACCACCACAAGCCCAATTCATGGCTCTTTCCAGCTGCCCTTCAGCTGTGATAGAGGTCCTTTCACAAGACTGCAAGCATTCAATTGAACTAGCTATCTTAGAGACAGAAGATTGCATCTTTTCCAACAAATTAGGTCGGTGGATATCCAGAACAAGAGGATACATCTTGTCATCACTTTCTAGAAATTTATGAGCTATGATCCTGTTATCGTGTGAAGGATTTAAGGTCATATCATTCATCCATTCCATTTGAATAATCTCTAGGCTAGTTCTTTTAATAGCCTCCTTTAGCTCATTCACTTGTTTCCTCAAAAGAGATGCAGCTGACTTTGCTGCTCTGACAGTTTCATGTGCACTGCAGTACTCTTCAAGCATTATTTTCATTTTTTTCTCATCACTAAGATCCTTTTTCAATTTATCAAACCCATGCTCTTTAAACCCTTCCATTTGTTGCTTTAATTTCTCAACCTCTTTATCTAAGCAATGCACTAATGCAGGAGCAATTCGTTCTTTGATGTATAGGCTCATCAGGACATGGAGGTGCCCTACCAGCTTTTTCTTTATTGCATCAATAAGCTGATCCATACCCAAATTCTGATCAATAGATGAAGATACATTATGGATGGTAACATCAAGGATGGAATCCATTACTGCAACTTTCCAAGCAAAAAAATCAATACCATTCAGTAAACCTTTGAATTTCCAGATATATTCGGACAATTGGCATCCAGATGTGATTATGTTAGTTAATTTGGAAATATCAACTTGACAGAAACTCGAATCACAATAAGAAAGGAGCTTCTTGTCCTGAGACTCTAATCCAGAGAAAGGTCTGTCCAATGTAGATAACAACACATTGTTTCTAAGACCATGAACTACTCTCTCTTCCTCAGAACCAAGCAGAGATAGAAAATGATGTTCTGAAGAAACCAAACCATCTCTTATGCCAGCTTCTTTATTAATTAGAGAAGAGCTCCGTGCATCCTTTTGATTCCATGTGTGGTGAAGTTCGTCTAGTTGTGCCCTACAAGCTTCTTCTTGAGAAGCAAGTTCCTCAGCCTCCTCCCAAGAAAGATGATCTCTTCCTTTCATAGCAGCTTCTTCAAGAGCCAACTGTTGCTCTGTGATGAGACCAACCTTCACAAAGTAGCCCTTTTCCAGTTCTTCCAGAGATGCCCTCTCTACTTCAACCCCAATAAGCTGCTCCAATGCAGTTTCAACAGATCCCCGGATATTGGACAATGCCCCAAATGCATCCACTACTTCTGAATCAATGCAAACAATGGATTTAATAAGCTCTGGGAAAATAGCTTCACTCATATGTACAACAAAATCCTTACACGACAACAAAGTAGCTTTAAAAATGGAAGCCCAATTCTTGTCAGAAACTTCTGTATCACCAGTTGCTGCTCCATTACCAACAGAATGCTGAAGCTCAATAATAAAGTCCATAACTAGTACACATTTTTCTATTTGCTCTTCTAGCTCAAAGAATACCATCCCAAAGTCAGACCGAGGCAGACTGCCCACATTTCCTAAAGTAATTGACTCATTAAATATGTTTTGTACCTTATGTTTCAAGTCATCATACAGAGAGCACAAGGCTACATATAGAACAGACAATAACTTCTCTTTCTTCATATCCACTTCTACTTTGCTATCTCTACTACCCTCATGTTTAAATTGTATATGTGGAAGAGAAGGAAAGAGGTCCTCATTCCTCATAAACCCACTAGATTGCATATAATTCTGAAAAGCAGACAGAATACGATTCTTAGCCTTCAATTCTGCTTCAGAGCCAATAGAGTTTACAAGTCCAGCATACTCCTCCTCGAGTTTCTCTATCTCTAAAGCAAACCTCTTCATTTTAAGACAGAGATCATCCTGGCAATGCGTGACATAATCAAGACCATCTCCATGTATCTTTGAAATAAGCTCACCCGCCTGCCTCCTCGCTAGGGAAAGCATATCAGGGGAAAGTGAATTGATGGACAGTTGTAAGACTTGTGCCCAACTATTTACAGGGCTTGTTGCAATGTAATTTAAAGGTAAGAATCTTTGCAGAGAAAGAGCATATGCTTGAAGTGCTATTATTGCAGATGAAATTCCATCGTCCAACTCAGCTATGAGCTGAGAAACTTCCCTGTCTATTTCATGGCATTGTGCTCGTGTGGGTTCAGGAACAATAGACAATGGAACACCTGCTACTGACACAGCAGAGATAAGAGATAAAGCATCTTCCACACAGCTTAGCCTTATACTGGCTCTGATTTCAGATATGGAATCATTCCGCAAAGCATCAATGAACCTTCCATGCTGCTCTAACCAAGTTGTTGCTTCTTGGACTTTCTCAGTCACACCAGCCTTAGCCTGAGCAAACTCCCGAGCCTGAACTTCATACTGCGCACGAGATTTCTCTGAGAGAGAAGTTGCTTCTGAGACAAGTGATTTTGCAGATGTTTCATTGAGATGAAGAGTTGACCTCTCTTGGTCAGCACGGTAAAATATAGCCGAGACAAGTTCGTACTGGTTTAAGATGTTCAAAAACCTCTGCAAATAGCATTCCAAGTTTAAATAATACACAACAGTACAGTATACAACAAATATATTTACAAAAAAAATAATAATAATTGACAGACCTCAAAAGAAGATTCAACGGCCGGGGCACTACCTAGTAGTAAATCATGATGTTCCTGCCAGAGAAGACAAATTCAGTGAATTTCCTCACGTTAACAATGAATTCTGCGTTTGGGATATTACGAAATACTTTCTCTGTTCTTTTTTACTTGACCTATTTCATTTATCACACTTGCCAATTCAAAACTTTAACGAACAATAATTTTAATTCACCATAAGTAAAAATTATAGAAATTATATATTATGATAATACTTATTGAGACGAATTTAATAAGATCTCACATGAATATGTTTTTACTTATATAATTCACAAAAGATGGTCAAAGGAGGGATGGTAAATAGTGTAAAAGTCAAAGCGGGTCAAGTAAAAAAGAACGGAGGAAGTATAACTTACATGACAAAGCATTTTATGAAATAACTCTAAAATGCTCTTAAAAAAGAGCTACAATGTTCACATAAATTAAAAGTGGCTCCTGGGCGCCTATAACTAAAACTTATGTCACATATTAATATGACAGTTGACAATTGCTTGCGGTTTACACTGTTTTCATTAGAAAGGTAAAAAATTATCCTTGCTCATAATTTATAATTTGAATAACACATTTTAAAGATATATTAGATTATGGCAATATTTATATGGAAAATAATTAAATACTTCTTATAAATATTGTTGACGATTATAAGTTCTATCATACAGCTACGAGCCTAAGATCCATTAAAAATACAAGTCTGTAATAAGACAGCACAACATGTGATGCTGAAAAGGTTGAGATATTGATCTAAAACAATGCAAACCTTGAATTAGTGGTTTCATAAAGCCTTTAAGAATAGAATGTCAGGTATTCAGCAGCAATAACTCAATGCGGATCTCACCATAAGTGGGTAAAAGTCATTTATTATAATCAATCAGTACTTCAGGACTCTGGAAAATAATAAATGGGTTCAACTCCTAGGCATATAACCAGAGACCGCAGTTCAAATACGCCAGAATAAAGGAGTACCTGTAAAGGAACACGCATCTCTTGCACTCGAGAAGCAAATAAACTTAAGCTAACAGCCAATTCCATCCCCTTTCTTTCCTCACCACCAATAGCAGCATCATCATGAAAATCTCCACGTGTCCACTCTACCAGTGGATCCCACACAAAGACCTCCAATAACATAAGAAGTAAATCTTTATTCCGTCTAAGAACACCAATTACTGCTTCACAGTTTGCCCTGAAGAGTCCTTCAACTCCAGTCAACCCTAAAGCAGCTTCAAGTGTCTGAGTAAGGCGGAATGGCACAATCTCAGGCACCTTTAACCTTTGTCCTTTCTCAAAGCACACATTGTAATCAATATGTACAATGTCCCCACTAAAAAAAATCTATAAGAATGTTATCCAAATGTCTATCCCCAAGACCAAAGATGTGGCCCACCATACTCATTGCAGCTAAGCTACCACAATACCTGCATAGAAAAATCACACAAAGTATATAAGAAACACAATGACATATTTTAAGAATAATTGTTTATTAAAGAAAAACATTGTAGTTCCTTAGGGTTTTACAAAATTCATAATATATAAAGAAGGCAACAATTGCCAAAGAGACGTTTAAAACTGTATTAAAGGTTTGACTACTGAATTCCTGTCAAATAGTTTCATTCCTTACTAATGCTAATTCAATCCATAGATTGTTATTACCTCTTCAGTTTTGAGCTGAAAGCACTGAAACCCTCACTTGCACACCAGAGTTCTTGATGAAGAAGCTGCTTGGGAGTCTCTTTCATAAGATCCAAGAAAACCTTAAGCTTAACTTCATGAGGCCAATCTCGTCTTGAAATAACTCTCTTTATGCCTTTTTCTTTTAATGCTGGTATAATTTTCCCATAGAACATGTCACTTGGCCGGGGAACAGGTGGAGGAACTGTATCTTTCACATTGCTGCCACCTGTGGCCAGAAGCTGGGCCATTTGAACTCTTTGCTGCCAAGATTTGAAAATACTGTAAATGCTTATTACATTATCCACCCACTGGATGAGACCAGCCCGGCCACTAATTGGTGTCACAGAATAATAACGAATACCAACTGACCGACTTCGAGTTTCAGAACATGATTGAAGAAAACTATTAACCGCTTGCAAAAGTTGCATGATTCGAGCATCAAGTCGTAAATCTTCTCTACCCTTTAAAAGATATGTATACTTTCCACCATCAGAGCCCAATATAACAAGTTTCTTAGGTTTGGTCTTGGTTGGTAGAATAACCACTTGTTCGGAGAAAGAAGAAATTGTGACAATTCCCAGAGAATTGCTACTGAAATCTCTGTCAGTTTCAGACAGCATTAACTGCTTTTGCTTCTCAAGCCCAGGCATAGGAACATCAGAAGACGACAAGCGAGCCAGTTGTGGTGCAACTTCTTTCAAAGAAACTTCTGACTTTCTCTGATAAGATGCCAAGGATGCAGCAATATTATCAAATGGTCGCCAGACATCTCCAAGTGCTGAAGCAGATGCAGGAGAATTTTTAAAGGCTAAAATTGCAGATCTTATCAGCTCTTTGTACTCATCCTGGAACCATTTCTCATGTGGGGTCTCAGGTTTTTTAGATATCAGCGCAAGACGACGCTCCAAGGCTAAAACAACAGGGGCCATCATAGCAGAATATTTTGCAGCATTTATTTTGACTTTCTCACTGTGGCTAAGAGTAATATTTCCTGAAATCCTTGCAGCTTCTTCTTTTAGCAAATTAATCCGCCTATGCACATCTGCAAAACACAGATGCTCAATATCTAAGGCTAAAAATTTTCATCTCAAAAGCTTAATTACAAAAGTATGGGCTATATAGCAGCTAAAGTCAGTATAGTAAATATTATATGAATAAAAAAATAAAAAAGGAAAGCAAAGGTCAAAACAGCACACTTTCAGAGTACACCAATATTTCAAAATGTGTACTCTGTAAGATTAGTACTTCTAAGGAAAAAGTTTTACAAAATTGTTCAAAGGAAATGCATCAGCAATGAGCTAAGGCTACCTCCATGAAGATCTTGGAGAGTGCTGAGCCATAGTTCCTCCCAGAGAACAGTTACATTTCCTAATTCATAAATCATGAGTTTGACATCTTGTACCAGCCTTGGATAAAGCTTCATCTGAATGATGATAAAAAAGAGTAAAAGACCATCAATCAATCAAATAACAGAGAGAAACACTAGAAACACGGCACCAAGGACAACATAAAGCTAAATGAAGAAGGACTCTTCAAGTCATCATATTGACGCGAGACATTACTAACAAGTCTAATAATAAGTAGAGATAAAAATAAATAGTAGATATATTTAAGAAAAAAAAAAAAAAATCATAGTGGATCATGTGACCAGCCATCAAATGAATAAACCCCAACAAGGTTTCAACTCTTTCAAGTTTCAACAAGTGTACGGCAGGACCTTCTTCATTAACAAGTCAAACAAACTAGTAGAGATTTCACCGTTGCAAGCATTATCAGATTACTACATAAGTATCAAATATGTATAGATGCTATGAATTTAAGGTGAGTCTTGAAACAACTTAGGGTTCCTCAAAAAGATTAGAACGAATCAGGAAAATATAGCAATAAAACTGATGTCTGCAATCAGCATATAAGGCTTCGGCCCTTGCGACAGGTGAGGATATGAGGGTCAGTAAAAAATAATTTAAAAATCCAAATGATTCAGGTCTATATTCTTGAAGAAATAAACACTGTAAGCCTGTAACAGCAAAAATACAGTACACTAAATTGCAGAAGTATATAGAGAGAGCTGTAAATTACCAAACATTCCAGAATACGCTGAAGCTCCACTGGCGGTTCTTCATCAGAAGCATTAACGTCGACAAGAGTTGGATACACAACAGACCACGGAGACGACTTTGCCAGCATCATTAGCAAGCCTTCCAAATGCTTCCGTGTTTCGGGTTCTGGATGAGAGCATAATCGAGCAAACAGCTGTGGTGTTACTTCCTAAAGATGACATTTGATCAGAACAACGTGGATGAGTTGCAGGAAAAGTAATATACTAGTAAAATATGGGGTGGGAAAATGTGATACCTGCCACGGCAACAATGGAACAGAAGATAGGCCAGGTTCAAGTGTGTCCTTCAGCTCCAAACCATAATTGAGCATAATATGTAGTATATATAGAGTAGCCCTTAAGCTTCCAGTTTTTTTACTGAAGGATCCACAATCACGGTCAATGGATGTGAAACTACCAAGCCTTGAGGAAGAGAACGAAAGGTACTGCATGAAACCATATGCAGCGTTCCCGAATAAAGACACTCTTCTCTTCCTCAAAGACCACCAGATATCAACCAAGACAACCAAAGCACTGACATAAGATGTCATAACATTTTCTTCTAGGTGAACATCTTGATCAAGAATAGTCATCCAAATCTGAGAAGACACTGCAGCTGATAGAGACTCAGAACCAAAATTTTCCACACCAGGTGCTCCAGCTGCAGTTTCAATAACATTCACTACTTTCTGCACCAAAGATGTTGCTTGATTTAGACGATTCACCTCATTGGACGATTCAACTAAGGAACACCTCTCTTCCCCTTCATTTGAATCATTTGCACAAAGAAGTTCTGAAATAATAGATCTAACTCTCAAAATTTCATCTTCAGTTAAACTGGTCATCTTTGGAATCAACTCTTGACTAAGGACTGGAGAAAGAGGGGACGAATGAAGGACAGCTCCCTGAGATGGGTTTAGACTCTCTTTAGCTTGAGAAAAACACCAAGATGCATATGAAATCCAAGTCTTGCCTAAAGTAGGGCAAAGCTGCGTTGATAGCTTTGTTGCTGTGCCAACAATTTCCTCAATGACTAAGCGTGTACTTGGTTTAGAGATCAACTTCTCTTCTACTAAGGATTCATTACTTTCACCAAACTGGCTGAAGTCAGTAAGAATATCAAGAGCAACATTTTCCAGGCTAAAATCAGCATAATCCCGCTTCAACCAATTTGAGAGCTTCAGGCATGCCTTAGCCTTTAATGGACTATCGTCAGCAGCAGCATCTACATTCTCTAAACCATAAAAGCCAGACTTAACATATGACCACATATTTGTGAATGCATCTGCAAACTTCTTTTCAGCATACAACAGCAGAATATCCTCATACTTCAAGCTTGATGTTAGAAATACACAGTTACTTCCCTCAAAGCAAGTATCAGTTTGATCCCTGAGATACTTCTTAAGATTGTTTGCCAACCCAAAATTTCCCTGCTTGCGAGCTAAGCACATTAAATCCTTGCTTAGTTGCAAGGTAACAGATGAAATAGGAAGGATGGTTTGGTATACCCTAAGAAGCTTCAGCCATGACCTACAATCCTGGTGGACTACACTCATAGGCAAATAAACTGCCTGCCAAAGTGAATTTACTATTGATTCAAACTGCTTAGGTTTGTCCTGAATGTTAGCCAACCTGCAATCCTCTTCTAATGCATATATGCAGTGCAAATGTATGGCATATGGTGCAGCCTCTGGTAACCCATCAAGTGGGAGAATAGTCAGAGCTTCATTTAGCAACAACTTGGCGTTATGCATCTCATCAGGCACCATGTCCATTTTATCTTCAGTTTTATAAAGCAATCCTTGCAAAAGCATCTGCTCACTCCTTTGCAACGCCAATTTGGGATCAAGAGTAAGTTCAGAGCTACTTTTGGGTGTTAAATCTAAGGATGCCCATGATGCCCGGTAGTCACCCTCATCAAATTGAGCTAACGCATGGATTGCATTCATTTCATTTCCAGCAATAGTTAAAGCACCTGAATAACTTTTTCCAGCATGCTTTGCCCGTAAAGCTTGCAGGTCCAGCAACCAATAATCAAGTGACTGCCAATCTGAAATTGCACAATAGCTCTCAATGACACGTCCAATTATATATTGTATTCCATCGGCTTCCATAGAACTAAGAGATTCTTCTGTCTGAAGCAAATGAGTAAAGACAGCAGCAGCTTTTTCATATTGTCCTTCTGCTTGATGTACTAAACCAGTGATCCACGAGAAAGGTCCATAAAGCTGATAGCTATTATCAGCCTGTTTGCTTTCGTCAAACAAAGAAGAAAAGCTCATATACGCCCATTTCTGCAAGCCAATTAAAGCTGCTGATTCATGTTTCTTAGACAGAGCCTGAGCCATTTGTTGCACAATTCGCATGACATCTCCACTTAACTTTCCCCTGACATCAAGTGGGTTATCAATAGCCTGAGTTCGAGACTTTTCTCTAAAGGAAGAAGTTACTGAACTTTTGAGCTCCTGCAAACGCAGGGAACAATACTGGATGATAGCATCATGGCACTGTAATGCCAAGCCAGCATTCATCATTGGCTCACATATGCGAGAAAACCACTCCTCACAAACCTTTTTGTTTGCTCGAAAAAACAAGGAACTCTGACGAGAAGCAAGAGGCAGCACAGAAGAACCTTCATATGCATTGTATACATTTTTCTTCAAAGCCTCAACAAAATCCAGCAATAACCTCATAGGCAATAAATGGGCACCACTGGAACCTATTATGCTTAAACCTCCATCATTTTGCTCGCTATCAATTTGCAGCATATGAGATACATCAAGAAGCATTCTCTCTAGGGCTGCAAAAGTTTGAGTTGGACCACCAAGGTTAGTCCGAAGACGAGTAGCAGTGCAATATCGAGCAGCTTCATGTATAGCCCACCATACACCAGCCAAGTTATTCACTAAACTAGTTTTTTCAAGAAATTCAGCCTCAAATTTAATGTCCAGCCATTTACTATTGCCACTGGAACTTCCGGTTTCCTCCAGACTTTGTGTTAAGTCCTTCGCACAATTACAGTGTTGAATAAGCCGTTGAATCCAGGAAGAAAGAGGTGCCTTCCATCGTTGTGAGATGTAACTCAAAATAGAAACAAGTTGCTGTGGTTGTAGACGTTGTGGCAGTTGCTTGAGGGCAAACACATGCCTCCAGTGCAAGTCAGCTCTATTTCTTGATTTGCAGTCAGTGAGCCTGCCTGTTGTAACTGTTCCACAATCCGATGAGCCACAGAGATAGACCGCAACTGGGAGGAAATGGGAAAGACGCTTTACAAAAGCACTTCTTATTGTAGTATCTGGATCGCCAAGCTTTTCGAGGACCACTTCTGCCATCTGATAGAAGTCTCTGGGGTGAACAAGTTTTGCTCGTAAAAGCATGTCAAATACTGTAGCCACTTGCAACCTCACTTTTGTTTCCCTGTCAAATGCAGCACCCAGTACAGAGGAAACCAGATTCCAGACAGAAGAACCATATCCAGCATCATCATAAGGATTTATGGGCACATTCAGACTTTCATATATTCTAGTTGCATCTTCACATGATTTATGAATCCAATCAAGGGCTTTGAGTTTTAAAGCAAGAGGAGAATTAGCTTCAAGAGCTTTCAAAAGAATGCTACTGTATTTGTTTAAATGCCCAACAATGAAATTACAATCCATACTAACTCTATTTGTTTTCTGAACAGAATCATTGCTGCGAAACTCAATGGAGTACTTGCTCAATAGCTCGACCGAAGAAATCCTACCTAAAGTTTCAAGAACAACTACTTGCAGCTCTACACAGTTTTTGACAGATAACTGGAAAGGATACAACTTCGTAATTATAAACAATGCTAGACGTTCTGACCTTTTGCACAACAGATTAGCCATGTCAGGTGAGGCAGTCAAACTATCTGTCTTGTCCAGGCAAATACAGCTCAGTAAGACTTTCAAGTTATACTTAATTAAGGCAAACAACTCCATTTTTGAGAAAGAATCAGCACCGGGACGGTTAGTATCCACGTCTCTACAGACAAGGACTTTTTCTAACATATCAGACAACATGACCATCTCTTCGAATAGTGAGCTAATTGCATGTTCAACAACTTCATCACTCCCATGTTGAAGCAAGAAAACATAAGTAGCAGCAGCACTAGCTGTCACCAAATGATTGGGATGCAAACGCAGCTGAGAAATTGGAGAATCCCATCGCAAAATTTTATGAACAGAAGAAGGAAGAAGCCCCAGCTTTTGCAGGGACAGCAACTGCAGATTAGTTTTAAGAACACCATAAATCTGAAAGGACGTAATTTTCCCACCTTCAGCAGGTTTTGTGCTGTCATCTACATCCAAACTCAGAAATAAAACATCAAGAGCAAGCGGATAAAATGTGGAAAACTTTTCCCGTAGTATTTCGGCCAAGAGAGTCAAACACCTCCAAGAATCCTCAATCCACTTTGACCACCCGAATTTTTTCCCCATCAAAGACAAGCATCCCAGCAACTTGGGAATCATTTTACTCAGAGGCTCAACTATCTGTTCAAGAAGATTAATTTCTAGCAACCCTGAAGCCGTTGATTTTAGTACAGTCGAGAAACAAGAAAATAAAGCAAGCAATCTACGAAATTGTTGAGGAGTTCCAGGACTTCCATCTTGTAGCAGCATATCCATATCACCTAAAAACTTGGACATCAAACTCAAAGGGAACTGCAGATTACTCACCCAATATTTCTGAAACTGCAAGAAGCTGCCCATAATAACTTGTCTATCAGACTCAGCAAGATCCGGTAACATTGCCCATCCGAGTAGCAGGTCAACAATATCAACAAAGTGGGGCTGAAAACATCTAAAAAACTTCAAGGATAACACAGTTAAAACACCCAAAATCTGATGCAGCAGATTCAAGGAGGTCCTCTCATCCTCAAGCAGTTCTTGACATGCTTTGAGTATAGGAAAAGCATAGCGCTCAGTTGCTCCTACATCCCCAAAACTTAAGAATTCGCGCAGACTTTCCAGAGCCAGCTCCATTGACCCATCATTTGCAGTCATATTTTTCAGCAATGGCAACGCCCAATTAATAAAACGATCCACCAAAGTTCCCAGTACAACATGATTCTGTCTTCCGTTAGAACCTGATGGAATTGTACACAAAATAGAGCAGAGCGCTCCATATCCAGTGGCTGCTGCCCGCCGGATTGCATATGATCTGAGCCACATGTTTAATAAATGTCACATTTTTTTTCATAACATTCTCCATTTCCAAATTGAAATCCACTAATTCGACACCCGAGGACAATTACTCTATAACACTACACCTCAAACATATAGCTAAAGAATCTCAAGTAACTAATTAATGATTTATAGCACAGGAAACACTTAATCAAAACACAAATTCTCAAAAACCGAAAGCTAATTTCACTGAAAAATTAATAATTCTAGAAATTGAAAAAGAAATGCAATCAATAAGCAACTCAAGCTGGCATATAAATTCCATAAATTGCAATACAGAAAGGAAAATAATTAAAACAAGCTCAATCAATCAAAACAAAAAACAGCAGTAATCAAAATGGCAAAAAAAAAAAAAAAAAAAAAAAAAAAAAAAAAAAAAAAAACAAAATCACAAAACTAACCCTAAAATAGAAAATTGAGAGATAAAGAAGGGCATACTTATCAGTAAGGAGCTGAGAAAAGCCTTGAAAGAGAAAAGTAGCGGAGTGAGAAACGAGAACTGAGTTAGGAGGAAAAAGGATGAGACGATGAAGCGAGTTAATGGCGGCGAGTCGATTGGAGTCGTCATCTTCCTGAGTCGCCGACGAAGAGGAAGAAGAAGATGGTGCGGCGGCGGAAGAGGCGGTGTCGTCTTTGGCGAGGGCAACGGAGAGAAGAGCACCAAGCTGTTGTTGTTGATGGTGAAGTCCTTGCATAGTCGTCGTCGTCTTCTTCGTTGAGTTTGTGCATTTTCTGGAATTAAGTTGAGTGGTGTTGTTGTTGTTTCAGATGGTTTGGGATTGTGACCGCCATTGTTGTTTGTTGTTGTGGAGGTTTTGAGTCGCCGGAGAAAGTTTTTGAGAGATTTGGAGGGTAAATAATGTACGGAGTAATTGTTGTTCAATTTTTTTTTACTAATTCTTGTGGTAATTTAAATGGAGTACTTTACGGTTACATTTTTTTTTTAACACGAGTTTAAAGTTTAAACAAAACTAAATACACATTACTATTGGCTTCAAAAGAAAAAAATACACATTACTATTAAAGCAATTAAGAGCTTAACATTCATGGGAAGGGAAGGTCCCCATTTCACAAAATAAGTATTTGTGGACCTTTCCATGAATGTTAATACATCCCCATTTGAGAATTTTTTTTGGGAGGTAAATCAAAAGGGAAGCCTTTCAAATGTTACTTGTGACCCAATTTGAAAAGTAACAGGGAGAAAACGTGGTGGGATATGGAAAAATAGGAGAGAGAAAAGATGGTGGGGTTAGTGAGGTATGTGATAAAATTAGTGGAAAGTAAAGTGGACTAATGAAGTGAGGAGAGATAAATTATGGGGAGCCCCATGAATGTTGATGCTCTTAGTGAGCATGTTGCCTATTTGTCTTGTGTATACTATAATGTTGAAAAGTCAACCCCATAAGTTGTATCTAATGCACTTCCATAGATAATTGATGTCCACACAACCATCACCTCTTAGAAGAGTGACAAGATTATAAGAATCAATAAATACAATAGGCGACTAAATGTTAGAATTTGAGGCCCATTATATTGTAAGCCACAAAAACAAGGCATACGGTTAGACTTTAAGAGTATGTAAATATGTAAAATTAGGTTAAATCTCGTGCATATGTTAAATATTTTTGAAGATAATATTATAAAAATTGCATAAATAGAATGACTCGTATTAAAAAATATGGAGTATATTAAAAATAAAAACATGCAAGAGAAAATATTTAAATTACATGTAATAGTTATAATGGAGAGTTTAATATTTTTGGAAAGGAATTATATTTTATATAAATCAAAGGGTTTTTTGTTAGAAACTACCTAATAAAACCAAAATTTTGTGAGAAACTACCTAATAAAAAAAACATGTTGTAAGAAACCACCTAATAAAAGGTAAAATGTTGTAAGATACTACCTTTGGCCGAATTTTCACTGTTGACCTAATTTTATAGCGTTGACCCACCTCAAAACATCCCCAAAACCACCGTGGGGGTTGGTTTTTAAGGTGGTAAGGTTATTTTCGTGGGGGTTGGTTTTTAAGGTGGTAAGGTTATTTTCGTGGTGGTTGGAAGATATTCCAAGTTGGTGAGGGTAGTTTCGAGATTCGGGATGTTGATTTTTGGGGTTAGAGGTAGTGGTTTGGGGGGTGGAGGGTGGTTTCGACATGGTGGTGGCAAATTCAAGCATGTTGTGTTGGTTTTGGGGATGAAAGAGGTGGTTTCGGGGTGTTTTGAGGTGGGCCAACGATGCAAATCCGGCGGAGGTAATATTTTACAACAATTTACCTTTTATTAGACAGTTTCTTACAACATTGAAAGTATATAAATATGTAAAATAAGAATAATTGTTTTGGGAGTACGCCCTCTCCGTTCTTGCCTCTTGTCTCCTCTTATCTTCAAGCTTCCTAATCAAGTGTTTGGGCTTTGCCTCGACCTACAAACATCGAAGGAGCCTCTAATTACATATAACAAGAGACAAAGAAGAGGGTAAATGAAAGATCAAAGGGAGTGGCACGCAAATCAAGCGAAACTAAGCAAAAACACGCATTATTCAAGACTAAAGGCAAAACACGCAAACTAAAGAATTATTGACCAAAACACGCTGGTAATACTTTAGTAAATGATAATGCTCTGTATCTGTTTTGGGGAAAAATACAAGTTTATCACTTCTTTAAATAAATGGAAATATGTAATAAAATTGCTTCAATATTTGTTCTTGTACAATTAAACATTCTTTCCAATACACTTGTACAGCTACCAACAAATTATAAGAAAACAACTTCAAATTAACAAATTTAACGTCATTTGGTCACATTATTTATGGTGAAAGTTCAGAAGCATTCATGGAGAAAGCTCAAAAACTTCAATGGAGAAATTAAGAGGGAAAGTTAACCTACCATTTGGGGTTAATCATACCCTATTTTTTCGTTTTCTATTAGGTTGTCGGTGTTGATGTCAATAGTGGTGTTGGTGATGATGAATGTGGGTGTGGATAGGAGGAGGAAGAATGAACATGAAAGTGGGTGGGTGGGAAGAAGGTGAAGTTGGGTGTGTGTATTGTGAATTTGATAAAGAACAAGGAAGATGAAGGTGGTGGACTGGTGGTCTTGCTTTAGACATCAAACGGTTATAGTAAGAAGGTTAAGTTATTGTTCACTATTAATTACAAATTTATCTTTCACTTTATTATAGAAAATTACCATTTTAACCCCTGATAAACATTAATGTGATAAACTTGGTCTTGCTCTATTTTTTAGGAGTAATTAAATATCTTGATAAATGTTAATTATTTATTTTTTTGAATAGAAAAATATTAATTATTTTTTCCCTTATTTGGTGGTAATTACAAGACTCAAAATTCACTTCTAACAAAACATGAAATTGACTTAAACTAAAATTTACTCGATGGCTTGATGAACAATTGAATTTAGTTAATCAATACTCTAACTGTCCCTTGTTGTTAACAATAGTTGTCTTTAACCTAAGTCAATCAAATAATAATCACAATATTTTCCTTTTTAAAAAGTTGAAATAATTACTAACATTACTATATTTCGCTAATGTTTCTTTGTTCTCTCCTCATAACATGATGATCGAGTCCTCTCTCGTGTCCTTAATCGTGTATCCCACGTTATCTAACGTTCCGATACATTAAACCAATGCAAAACAATCCACGTTCTCATAGCTTGACTAACAGTGCACATGCAAATCACAATCTTGGTTGTGGACTTGTGGCATCATGAACATGACCAGCTCTCTATCACACCCAATCAAGAAAGTGTATTCTCTTGTGCCAAATGCTTCCTATATAAAGAGTAGCAACCCTTTCATATTCTTTCATCCACTAATTATTTTTGCCTTTTTGGCAGTGTATTAAGCTTTGAAGAGGAAAAAAAAAATGAAGCTTGCAAGTTCAGTGATTTGGACTGCTGCACTATTTTTTATGATTGTGGCGGCGACTAGTACTTCTACCGTGGACATGTCCACTGCCACTGCTGTTCCTCCAATGGTCGGGGAACAAACTCCAGTACGAGGTGGTTTAGGCCGCCGATTTGCTGCTGGCCCGTCCACTAAATCCGCCAACGGCGTCGAGTATAGGGTATTTCATCAAAAATGTTTTTGGCTTATTATTTTTGTGTATTGTACTTCTGATTAATAACGCAGCTATACGAAAATGTAAGCTTGTGACTTGTTAGAGTATGCATAATCAACCACCACCTTACACAAATTGATGCTAAGTTTATTGATACTGTAGTAAATTAGTATTGCATGTTACAGTACTAATGAGAGGTTTTAGTTTGAGTCACTGACTCAAGTTCAGTCGGATCTATTTACAATTAGGTAAATTGGATTGGGATAGGTCAATTTTAACACCTTTTACGTGTGCTAAATATTTTTATTGTCATTATAAGAATTTTATTTGAATATCATTCTTTTTTTTTTTTTTGGGAGGAGGAGGAGGAAGGGGGGAAAGGAAATATCAAAACGTTACATGGGTATATTTTTTGATGCAGGGCTTAATATACCCTAATTGAACAACAAATATGCCATACTCTGATATGTAAGATTGCAAAAATTAGAGTATGGCATATTTTATTCAGCTAATATTCAACAAATACGCCATACTCTAATTTTTGATCGCAAAATTTTTATAGCGGAAAAAATTATAGGATGATCATATGGATTCATCTCTCTATAAAACTAGAGAATGAGAATGAAATAAGGCGAAGATTTGGTTCACTAATACAACTACTATAATTGAAGAACTTTCTCTAATGTTGTATGCCTAAATAATGAATGGCTAATTACAAGAATAATCCTTTACCCCAAAATTCAATGACGCAAAATATTATTTTTTTGCATTGTTCTCTCATCTCCTTGTTCTTCTCCTTGTATTTCTCTACACCAAATTAGGAGGATTTAACTCCAACACCAACCAAATTTTGCTATAAATTATAGAACACCAACACAAGTAATCAACATTCTTCTTGATGAACATTGCACATTATGATCATAATCTTGGTTGTAGCATTATGAAGCAATGAATACGACATCACCACCCTATCACACTCATCTAAGACAAGCATATTTCTGACGCCAAATGCTCATCAGATAAAAGGGCTGCAACCCCGTAGTATTCTTGCATCCATCCTAACTCTGGCACAAATTAAGCTCTGAACAATGAAAGGGAAGAAGATGAAGTTGGCATATTCAAAGAGCTGCATTATTGTAATTATTGTACTGATTTTTATGGCTGACGGGGTAACTAGTAGGGCTAGTACTTCAACCACTGGAAATACCCCTGCTGCTGGTGCTCCTAATGTTAAACCCTTACCTGCTTTCCCACCACATGCTCAAGCACCAGGTGATCTCGATCTTGCTCGCCGGTACGGTCAATCTGCCACCCGAGGTGGGAGATGTTACTGGGAATTTTTCTTTTTGCGATGTGATAAATACTATTAAACAAGCAGGTGTAAGCTGTAGTAGGCAACTCCAGCCACCTCGATCAAATTAATGCTAGGTTTATAAGCACTACTGCTAGTTCTACTACGTAATAGTTATATAGTTAGAAGAGTAATGGGATAAACAAGGGGTTTACTTTAGTTATCATACCCCCAGCAGAATAGCATAATAATTTATTTTAGTATTTAATGGCATTTCAAATAAGTAATCAATATGTTTTACATTTCTGAATTATGCATAGATCTATTCTGTTACAGGGCTTAGTATTACGCAATAGATTATTCAACTTGAACTTGGCATGACAAAATTCATTTACCAATTAATTTCAACACAGCTATAAATGGTAAGAAAAACAATTTAGGAAGATTGTACCATCCAT